AAAGCAAGCAGGGAATATGAAACTAAAACATGCAGTTTAGCAAGAAAGTTTAGAAGTTAGAGAGATTTAAAGTGCTATTTCACTACTACAAATACATTTTGTAAATCTAATTATAGGTCATCATCATAGAACAAAAAGACAATACCCACACCATACCTATTAAGCATTTCTACAGCCCTGATAACCATTAAACCCTGGAAATGTAATAGAAAAAGGAAAGGGAAAGTGCTACAGCTGCAGAACTGCCTGCAAAAGCAAGAAGCTCTATGGGTTTTAAAAAGAAAAGAGAATAGGGTAAAACAGTAGACTTGTAAATAAGTTCATAGCATTTAATTACAGATCTGAAGCAGAGCCTACTCAGTCTACAAAAGCCTTTTAAAGCACATGAAGTTTGCTTAGTGGAAAAGCCAAACCAGATTTTTAATAAATAGCATAATCTGGATTTCAAAGGGCACTGGATTCAACCTTCTGCTTCTAGGCGTAAGTACAGATTTGGTATAATTTTAGATAATGTCTTTGGTCTCAAAACTTCACAAACTGAGCCTTGTTTGAGGCATAACAATACAAATGGCTGCTTTAACTTCAAAGTAATGTTTAAAAAGTTTCAATAATAGAAACTTTCAGGTAAGGCAAGAAACAGATGAAACTGCAGTGACAGAAACATCACCACGAGTCTTCCCTGCTTTGTGCAGTGTCACTTCAGACTATACAGAGAAAGACTGCCAGTGCATTTATTATGGGATCATATAAGAGTGCACATTTATCGTGAAAGTACAAAAAACTCTTCTTGATATCTGTTTTAACTATGACAGAAAATATAAAGAATAAAGACTATTGAATTGTTATTCTTTACCCTTCATTTATAGTGCAATGTGATTTAAAAAGGAAAATTTAAACATGATATTCTATTTCCAGTTGTGCCACAGTTTTATCCAGTTTTAATGTTATTTAACTCTTTAAGAAGTGGGAGAAATCATCAGTTATTTTTTAACATAAAGAATAGAAGACAACCAATACCTACTTAACAAGTCAATGAGGCAAAACCAAGACTGCAGAAAATAAAGAGTAAAGCTGAATAACCTATGATGCATGCTTGCTTATTCTCTCCAAAAACCATAACATGCCTAACCCATCACTTGCACATCCCACTCATAAGTCTATTACATGATTACTTTCCAACACAACTGAAAAAACAACACTTTTGCTTTTAGATCTCTTCACTAACTATGGCATAACACACCTCACAGAGATAAAATGGATTCATTTGCTTCATGTTTATGAACTTCATTTAAATAAGGTTCCCCAACACCATGGCAATAATCCTCCTTAAGGGAAAATTGAAACACTTGTCATGTAATCCTCATTCAACTAAAAACATTAGAGGAATTGGCTTAAAGATATCCCTTCCACTAAACCCCTTTGGCTTCAGGAATGTCATGTTTCCTGTAATGGCATGTATCTACTCTTGCTTTCATCACTTAAATGAGTTAGAAAACCTTCCGAGTACAGTAGCAACATCTTGGCATGAAGCTGGTGTGATGGAGGAATCAGGCCTGTCATTGTTTCATGATGATGATACAACTGCTTATAGACAATGTTTTATAGAACCATAATTAGTTTCACACACTGAGTTTAATACTCCCCCTTCTGACTCAGCGCTACACTAGGCTGTTTTTGACACAAACACTTGTAAATGAATATGTTTTATAACTCAGTAATTAACACACATAAGCTATACTATGAAAAAGTAACTCCTCTTAACCAGTGGTGTGCTATCTTCAGATAGATAAAAAGTCATGACCTATTAACTTCTGTCAATGAGTAGCTTTCATAAAAAAAAAAAAAAAAGAAAAAAAAGGAGATCACTGGCACACATTGTAAATGTAATACTTAAGAGAACAATAAAGCACATTTATAGAAAACACAGGGAAACTTACCTTCAGCTTCACAAACACAAAGGAAAAAAAAATCACCTGAGTTCCTGGTATACATTAAATCATTACAATTTAAATACTGACAGCAGAGCTTTTGACTTACACCAAGTAAATGCCTTCAAAAAGCGTCACCTTTCCTTTGTGTAACATTTGGGAATAAGTTACATTAGGTATATATGGAAAAAAGCAGGGGGCACCAAGACATGAAAATTTACACTACAGCATAAAATACTCTACATAGAAAGCGTGAATTTGGAAGAAGCTAAAGGAATAGCTACAGTGTAAGTCATTACTAACCCTGGCCTGGCAGCAGCTCCAGATAAACGCACATGACAGGGAAAACGCAGGCAGGACAGTCTGCTGCCTGGTGGAATGGAAAAGGTGACTTGGCAGTAAATCGGAGCAGAAACACTAGAAATGCTGACAGAATATTCCTCTTACTCTGTGCTGAAGACAGAATGCTTACCTAGACACACATTTCAAAGGAAAAAAATAAACATTTTTTTGTCTGAAGGTAACATACTAACAATGTTCTTGGTACTAACCTGGACAAATGAAAGTGGAGTGGTATCACGCGATGCATGTATGTGCTTTCATGTAATTCAGTGTGGTAAGAATGATTCGGGCTTTCCATTCAAGCAAGGGTGACTATTTGAAAGCAAAACCGGGGAAAGGGAAGGCTGTAGGAGCATGCCAATGTCAAAGTAATTGACAACGAATACCAAAAGCTAGCATGCAGAAGGGCTTTATTTTGTACAGGGAAATACGGATCAGTTAGTTAACAGGTGGGATTGCTGTGGATTCTCATCAACCTGCTCACACAAAACAGCAACGTCACATCAGTCTAAGCTTTGGCACAACAGTTCTTCCATTTTCCCATGCATAATCAGCAACAACGGATGTAACAGAATGCTTGAAACAATACAGTAATACTATCTAATGATAACGGCTTACCCCACGTCTCTGAGTGAAATCTGCACGCGGGTGAAGAAGTACTTTGGTGAGGGAGGAAGGACAGCACGGGAAGCAACCCTGACTCACAATCTGATGCTGTACTTCCCTGAAGTCAATAGCGCCATGCCGAGTTCTCTCACTGCCTGTTTTAAGCAGCCCTAGCCTATTTCGGGTCATCAACACATACATTTCCAAATAACGGTGACTTTGGAAATTGCCTGGAGGGTGCTTTCCTGGACAAGATAAGAAGCATGCACCGTTCTCCAAATTCTGTGTTTTGTTATGTTTTTTGCTCAAGACCTCCTTAGACACCCACCCATATTTACCATTCTAGTTTCCTGACTACAGAAGTTTAATTTTAAAATGCAAAGAATGATTTTTCTTTCCATGTACACCCAAACTTGAAATCCTACAGTCAAACTGCTTTTTCCTCAGTCATGTATGAGAACTGCAGGCAAGGATTCTGCAGGCTAGATTATGGTCTTCATTACACCTTTACAATCCTGATGAAATACTGCTTCCTTTATAGCTTATCAGCACAGCACTTGCACGGGTGTATGAACTCTGTATGAAGCAGAATGGTTCCCTACGTGTTCATAGAAAAGATGTAAACTGCACATCAACAGTCAGCTACAACGGAGCTGACAGCAGGGATGCTATGGCCAGAAAAGTAATCCCCGTGAAAAACTGTAATACCAGTTTAGCTTATCTTATCCCTTTCCGTATCCTACCATATTCTTCCCCCTCCTACCTCTTCTATCTCCTCTCTCTCTGATGAACAATCCTTAACCTACATTCTTTGGTATGTCTCAGCTACCTACCAACGTGCAGTTTATATACGCATTAATATCAATGTCCATGGCAAATAGAGCAGTGCATTTTGCAATTTCCCCTTTTACTCACAGTTGATGAATGTCCAGTCTGTAATAAACAGTGTTAATCCAAAGTTTTTCATTTTATTTTCACTCCCCAACCTGTTACCTAAAGATTCCTAAGCATTTTGCTTGACCTGTTCCCCCGAGATGGACTGCCATCACACACTTCTCCCTTCTAAACAATGAATCAGAATATGGAAAAAAACCTCCACAGTGCTCAGAGAAGGACTGAAATCCAGTCCTAGACTCTCCTACAGCCCTCGCCTCACAGTTTGAAACCTTTTGTTCTAACCATTTTATCCTCGGTCCATCAGGGAAGATTTTAGGCGAATTTCAGCCTCGCACAGTGAATTAGCAGCAGATGTAGCAGAGAACTGTAAGTCCGCTAGCTCACAAGGATCGAGCATTTACTGCTCTTGCAAGTGCAGCCTGCTGCAAGCTGGCACACTGAGGCGAACTCTGAATCTGCGGGAACCTGCTGTCCAGGATGCGAGTGTAAAGCACTGCACTCAGCACAAAAGCCTATACAGGCAGGCAGGTGAAGTGTTAAATGCCAAATAGTCAGGTAAAGGCAAAATTTTGAGGCCTGAGACCTAAGAAATGTGAGTTTACAATTATGCTGCTGACTGGAAATACTGTGGCTACACTGGGAATAAATTCATGCATGCAGGAATTTGTCCAAAAACCCATTAAGGAGGGCACTCCCCTAGTGAAGAACAGAATTAGTTTGAGCATAATTCAATGCTTCAGTGGTTGATGAAAGAGACAGATGTCTCCATTTGCAGCTTCCTGCTAAAAAGGTAAAGTCATATCATGCAAAAATCACACAGAGAAACTCTCTAGAAAGTCCGTGGGTACCAGCCATGTGGGAATCACGAGAGGTTAGTCTGTAGGGCTCTGCATCTTACTGAGCAAAAGAATTCACAGATTTTTTCGGGAAATTTTATCCTAGTTTCTAGTTGCTATAATCTCCAGCAACATATCGTCTATTTCTTGAGCTGGTGCTATGAAACTGCACCCTATGTTGGACTCGGGTAATACCATACCTCCCATGTTTACTTTAAGCATTAGTACAGTGCCAGGCAGAGCACAACATCGGAGCTTGTAAGGTGCTTCAGAACTGAAGCCTCAAAGAAACCAATCGAGCCAGAATCACTTAATGACCAACGGGGGCACTAATGGGTTGGATCCTACAATGCTCTAACACACACAAACTCATCGAAGAGATTTAATTTACCTTGACCTTGTAGTACTCCTTGACTTCAGGCTGAATGGAATCAAAATCACCACTGATGTAATCAGGCAAGAAGCTGAAAGGAAAGCAATGAGCAGTGAAATGAAAAATTAATCCATCTTACTACATTTAATATTTATTTTCTCAAGAGCGCTAAGGGGTACAACCATTAATCTCTCAAGGGAATAGGAGTTAGTTAAAAGCACGTTAAAACAAGAGTTGATATGAGGTGACACAAAATAAGGTAACAGGCGAACCATAAAACTGGTAAATCTAGTGTCCCTTCTTTGCTGAGGGAGCTACACATTGCTTATACATCTCCCTGGGTCAGTAAGGCAAGACTTGTATCTGCATGGTTCTAGAAAGACAACTCTCAAATATCTTTCAAATGTATCATTCAGTCAGCAAAGTATTTGAAAAAAACCTGAGTGCTGTACATCAATCCACAGAAGATATAATTTGTCAGAAGATGATGATGCTTCTTCGACAGCTGGTATGCCACAAATGTTCCAAAGATTTGTATTTTAGTTGTTACTGATGTCATCCCATTTCTGCTCTTCTCCTTGATTATTAAAAATACTCCCCCCAACATATGGAAGCCAAATGCTCAGTGATTTTTAAGTCATATCTTGTACAAAATGTGTATGAACTTGATTTCAAATCCTAATCATCATTTGGATAGTAATACTGTTGCAAAGCACATAGAAATTGTAATACTTATCTCAACTTGCTTCTTGATTTTTAATTGCAGAATGCTTAATAATGTTTACAGTATAAATTCTTATGACATTTGTAACAAAACTTCAACTGTGCTGAAAAAAAGCCACCAAAAGAACCAAACCACCAACAAAAAAAGAACCCAACTAAAAAAACCACAGAAATACAGCTTTCAATCGTGCACGATTCCTGGAGTTTTAAGCAGCAGCTAAGATGACAGGTGAAAGTGTAGCCGCTGTTTCAACAGATAAGGCTAAGTTTTGAAATTAAAGCTGCAATTTCAGTGTTTTCTAATGAACTAAATACATAGCTCCTCTTCTCCAATACTATACTTTACAAGGGGTAAAGTTCATCAGCAAATCAGTTTACAGCTCAAGCTGAGTTACAAGGAATCGGTCAAAGCATAGTAGAACATATTTCTCTTCCACATGAATTTTAGAAGAATGCTGCAGGGTCTAAAAACTCCCCACTTCAGTAAAACCTATAAAAATCTCACCTTCTGTCTCTGTTCAAAGATTTCAAAAGAGAGATATCATCGCTGGCCACCACTTTCTTTGAAAACTGAAAGCTGCTTCAGCAGAAGCTGGTAAGTACAGTTGTTGCAAGTTAGCTCACGTGCAATTATGGCATTTCAAATTCACTGTTCTCTGCTATTACTAAGGCTGTTACAAGAGGATATGTTCTAAAAATAACCTCTCCAAAAGTTATGCTCCCACACTCACAGCAGGGGGAAAGGCAGTCCCTTCTGCATCGGGTTTTATTGAGGACACAGAAACCAACTAGAAGAAACGCAAATGCTTCAGTGCTGTTCTATATGCCAAAGTCACTATAGTTCAAAATCAGCAAAAACTAAACAGGAAATTAGATTTGCTCCTTCATTGTGAGACTGACCTTTCAATGTACAAAAAGAAATCCCACGTTTTAAAAATTTAAATTTTAAATTGCTGCCTTTTTTACTTTTCCACAAGTTTCCCTATGAAATACTTACTGAGTACAACAAGACTAAAAAACTACAACTAATCTTGTTCATTTTGTTGTTTTCCTTTCATTTCTTCCTGATTGAAACAAAGCCATTAAAAGTAAACTCACTCTACGCATTACAGCGATGGCTCCGAATGCAAGCCCTGGATGCATCCCAGCAGGTTGGGCAGGAAGAACAACAGCCAGTTGCCAGAGAAAGCCAACTTGTTATGACACGCACATCCACTCTGATGAAAAAGCTGATGTCTTAAGGTTGTTTATCTTACTGAAATGCAGCACATAAATCCAAAAGTGTCTTTGTCATTTTGTTCTCTACAGTAACTACAGACCGCAGTGCTTTTAAATAATCAACCATTTCCCCTGAGTGCTTCAAGAGGCATAACTGGGAGCAGAATTAGCCAGAAAAGTATCTTCTCTGAATCAAATGCTTCTTCACAGCTTTTACTCTCATCCAAAGTAAAACCATTTCCATAACAAACGCCAGCTGAAGTTCTGTCTGAATTTTTACAAGCAAAAGAAACAAGAAATTTGGTTGCGCCTCCCACATGCTCTGCCAGGGCTCCTGGCTACACTGCCTGTATGTGCCTCCTCTGCCAGGGAGCTCTATGTCCATTTTCAAAACATCCTCTCTAAATGGTTCACCTGTAGCCACCACAAAGCCAGAAATGACTAACAGAGGAAGGAGTCGTGCCTGGGAACTTCAAAGTTTCAAAAAGTGTAAGCCTCGCATTAGTGAACATGGCCTTTTCCTAGAATAGCATCAATTCTTTTTTCTTTTCTTCTTCTTCCCTTTGACAATGAGCAGGAACAAGGAAAATACATTCTTGATGAATTCAAAAAATAACACTCATGAGTAAATCTCAACTTGCACCGTCTGCTTCACAAACATCATTAAACATTTCAGCTTTATCTTCAGAGGATGGCTGCTCTTTGTAGCTCATTGACCACGCGTGCCAACAAAAGCAAGCCAACATACAGCCACAACTCAAAACTGTGACTTGGTCCTCTTAGGCTCTGTGGAACAAATTGCCTGTTTCAGGTGAGAATTTAGTCAAAGCTCTTCTCCAATTAACAGGAGTGAAGTAGAGTGTGCAGAATTGTCCTAGGCTGACTAACCTCAGAGAAGGTCAGCACTAGCTGACGTAGAAAAAGGGGAAATAGTTGACAGAGATATATATGGGAAAAAAAACCCATACTAAAGTAACTTAAGAGTATTTTGTAATAATTGGTTTTCATTTGTTTGCTTTGGTATACTTTTGTATTTACTCCAGAATACAGAATAGTCCATGAGAAGAAGCTCTGGAGAAACACATGTCAAGCTTACTACTATGTGAGTGGAAGAAATTGTGTCAGAAAAAAGTAACAAGGCAGGCCCCTCCATAAAATTTAAAACAGCAGCCCTTATTTAAAGTATGGATTAAAATAAGGTATTATATTAGTCTAACCAATGCTTTTCTACCCTCTGACCTCAAATTCATGAATAATTCTTATCCTGTAGCATAACTGTATTGAAGACGACATATATTTCAGTGACATATATGGCATGTATCCTTTAACGGAAGAGGTTATCTTTTTGCCCGTGACGGAAAAAGATGTCTTTAATTCCTTTTCAAAGTTTAATTTAAAATTTTAATTTCTAAACAGTCCAGATGATGCAGTCTACTGCATTTCAGAACCATGTTTTACTAGTCTCATTAGCTATTAATTATCACTATGCAGATAAGGTCATGACCAGCTCAACTGGCTTGATTCTCTGCTGCTTTACACTGACATTTATCAATAGTGAATCAACTCCATAATCCTAATGGGACCCAAAGTATAAAATTCATATGAGATCAGCTTCGTCTACCAAGCCTTTTCTAGAGATGTCAAGCAGCATTAACACCAGGAACTGAGCTACAAAAAACCCTCAGAGGCTTTGGGCCAGCCAGAGTTTTTCTTTCTCTTTACTTCTGATTCTCTTCCCTTTTGTCCGGGTTGTTTTTTCATTTTGGTTTGGTTTTGTTTGGTTGGTTGCATTTTTTTCTATTCTCATCAGGGCATTTTAGAGCCATACAGCATCCATCTAAAATGAGTGTGGAGTCGGGAGGGCCAGGATTGCTTTCAGGTTAGGACCTGAAGGCACTTCCATAGCAGACTGCTTATGTTTCATGTATGTACCTTTAAAAAAAAGAACAAAAAAACCAAAACACAACACAAAACCCACAGAGTTTCTCTATGAAACCTTTAAAGGTTTAGCTAGCTTACCAAGGCAAAACAGCATTATTTCTCATAAGTTTTGGGATAGATCACAGCTAGGGGATTTATCCAAACTGAAGAAAGGCTGAATGTTGACTGAACAGTTTTATGAACTCCCAGGATACTGGGAGGGAGAGCAGGAAAAAAAAAAAAAAAAGATTCCAGCAAGTTTGACATAGTTTCAAGACACACAAATGAAATTTTAGTCAGAAGTACATAAAACAGTAATTGACTCTTACCATAGACACAGATTACAAAATAAATAGAAGCTATTTAAACTCTGAGGTTCTCATGCTAAGTAAGCACAACTGTGCCTTTTGCCTTCAAGAAAGCCATTTAATGGACATAGCTTAATTCAAGAAGCAGTTTTATTTTAAAATATTCAACATTAATGAACAGCATATTAAATTTAAACCATCAGAACACTAGGTGCTTTACTCAGTCACTTTAAGAATTCAGTGTGAAGTGGTAAATATGCCTTTTTATACAGCTATGAAAAAGAAAAAAAAAAACCCAACACATCACACCTTAACAGTTTAGAATAAAAAACTGTGCTGCCTCCTTAAATAAATTGCTCTGGCATAACTGTTCAGTTCTATCATTAATTCAAAGTTACAGTTTCCTAGTGCTATTGACTTTTCTTGTGATGTAGCTCCTTTAGCACATAATTGTCTGTAATTAACCTTTTTTAAACAAATGTTAACATCAGAGACATGAACATTTAAAGGCAGTATCTGCAGTACCCTTTGCTTCCTTCAGTTACAGCACAGAAAACAATCCCATGCAGACAAGCCGTAGGTATCCCAGCTGTATCATTCAAGGGCACAGAGTGGGTTCCCTATGCTTTTTTTTCAGTACTAAAAATAAATTTCAAACCGGTGCATTTTACCCCAGCCTAACAGACACACACAAGCTACTTCCCAGTAGAAAAAATACATTGAAGATAAAATGCTGCAGAGTTAACATGCAGCAAAGTCACTAAAGTCAGCTTTGACTTTCATAAGCATCTAGTACTTTGATATACAGAAGATAAAGTACTCTAGCATTACTTCAGGATAAATATTAAAATCACAGTTTAACAAAAAGACCCCAACAAACAAAAATCAATGCCCCCAAATCTACACTTGCGAAGTGTTAAGA